AGAATAAAAAAATTAAAAAATTAAAAAAAAAAAAAATCAAAAAGAAAGGAGAATCCAGAACGGTGTTCAGGAGAGAACATGAAGGGGCTGCTCCTGACCAGCAGGTGGGGCAATACCGGCCAGGGGACAGCTGGTAGCATCAGGGACCATGCCAACAGGACCAATCCCTGTGCCTCCCCTCAGGTGGTGGTCCCCCCCCCCTTACGAACATCGGCAGACTCTGCTCAATGCAGATCGGGGGAACCAGTGGTATCTCTAGGTGGCGGGCGCCCAGCATGCCCAGGAAGATACATGAGGCCAATAGGGATTGAACCCAAGACCTCCTGAATGCCACTTGCGAGCCTTACCACGGGGTTCCGGATATGACAGTCGCTATAATTAGGAGTAGTGGCAGTTGGCTATACATGCCATGCATGGTTTAGGCCGTGCACTGTATGGACATCAAGACATATGGCTGGCAGAATTTCTGAACCCTCCAATAGGGTCGGCACCCTTTGCTGACCCTTTTTTGAAAAAAAAAAAAAAAAAAAAAAAAAAAAGGAGTAGTGGCAGGTAGGTAGTGTGAGGTGATTGAGAGAAGAATGTAGCTTACTTACAAAATAAAAGAATAAAAAAATAAAAAAATTGAGTATCGGAGAACTCATCAGCAGATTGTCTTGTTCTGTCAGTAGCCCTCACAGATACAAAACCATTGGCAAAGCTGAAAGCTACAGTCTTCAGCGGAATAGAACACCTAGTCATTATACCTGTATTTGGGGCAACTTTCAGTCCAGATGCAGCCATAATGACTGGGCGTTCTATTCGGGCGACGACGGTAGTCTCCCACTTACGCAGATTGTTGATTTCTGACTACCATCTTCACCCGAATAGAATGCCCAGTCATTATTGCTGCATCTGGACCGAAGGTGGGCCCAAATACAGTGACAATGACCACCCCTGCTATTCAGGTGAAGACAGTTACTGTACCAATTGCAAACATCAACCTGCAGTCAGAAACAGAGAATCTGTCAGGTCAGTAAGGTGCAAGGTCCTACCGTCTTCCCCGAATACAACATACAGTCATTATAGCTGTATTTAGTCTGAAAGACACCCCAAATACAGCTATAATGACCGTACGTTGTATTCGGGGGAAGAAGGTAGTGCCATGGATTACGAGATGCTAGCCTTCGATGTTCATTAGCTACTGCAAATATCTCTCCGGAAATGACTCTAGCCAAAGCCCGGTAATGGCCTCTCTACTCATATTGCATTGTGAATTTGTAATTGATTGGCTGTATATGGCACACTGAACCCGGTTATCAGAAGGTGCAGCCCCCCACCAATAGATCGGAGCCCAGCTGCAGGCCAAAAAAATGAAAAAGAGTCGGGATCGGCCGTGCCTGTGAAGGAAAAAAGAAGAAAAAGAAAAACGACAGACCAGTGCATGGCCCCAGCCAACTTTCCCAGCCAACTTGAGAATCACGATTGCGCCAGGAAGAATTAAAAGTGTGGTAGGTCGGGAGGGAGTCTCATAGGAATAGGGGCCTCTATATGGACCATCGTGATAGCCACATGGCCGATTACGGAAGGTGACTGTCATATGTCCAGAGTCTGACCTCTACAACAACCTGGGCTTCAAAAAAAAAAAAAAAGTTAGGAGCCTTTTTGTTGGGTTTTTGAGTGGGCTTGGGTTCACCTTTTTGTTTAGCACCTTGTTGCATGGTTGTGAGTGGACGTACAAAAAAAAAAAAAAAAAAAAAAAAAATTGTGAATGAGTACAATAATATGTGGGGATTCATATACCTCCCTTGTTAGATGCTGTGACATTTTGTTAGATTTTGCTAGCTGTTGTTTGTTGGACCATTCACAATAATCGGACTTTTCTCACTTCCGTTGGGATGGACTTGGCCGGGAGTGCCTCGCCCAGGCCGAATGGCCGAGACATAAATGTGAGGGACACTGGACCGGGTTTCTGGCACAAATGGAATGTCTTTTCTTTAGGGAAAAAAAAAAATTAGGAGCCTTGGGGCAACCGGACCAAAATGGCTGACGGTGCCAGCCAAAATAAACCGGACGTTGAAGATTCGGGAAAGTGCTGGCACAGGTTCATGAGGGCTGCCCGTAGCACAGGGGCTCGCCACACAGCCTTTGGAATGAACGCCTTTTCCGAAAGGTGTCAGACTTTTTTCGAAAGGCTGCTCGTCGAAAGGAACCCCCCCCTCGGCACACAGACTTTCGAAACACCGAGGCCTTTCTATATGCAGATTTGGGGCTGACTCCACTGCTCTCGACGCGTGTAAACCAAGAGTGTGAATCTTTGCCTAGAACATGGAAAGATACACCGCCATAATTTTTGTCTTTTGTGCATGTTGAGAGTAGTGGAGCCAGGCCCTTGGAATCACCCCTTCTTTTTTTTTTTTTTTTTTTTTTTTGCCAATAGACCGTTTTGAGTGCACCTTTTCACAAGACGACTTGAGGTCTTTCGAGGAAACACTCGTGACAGGGGGGGAGGATCCCATCTCTTCGAAACGACTTTCGACGCCGGCCTATCTGACACCTTTCAAAACTTTTTCGAAAGAACTGGTTTCGAAAGGCTGTGTGGCGAAGACACAGAGTAGATTTTGCGCGTTTGGAGTAGCGAGAGGATGAGATAGAATATATACAAAAGAAGATTGAGAGAAGAATATAGATTACTAATTAAAAAAAAAAAAGCCTGTGTGGCGAGCCCCAAAGTGTGGAGAACCGGCAGAGTGGCGAAAATGGAAAATGCAACGAATTGCCACCATGAGTTATTTCGTGGTGGAAACAATATTTTTTAATTTTGTAAACATTTTTCCTGCAAAGCTCATGACCTAATGCGCAGACCCTCCAATCTTCAGATTTTTTCCTTATTCTTCTGAGCGTGAAAAATCGCTGAAGGGAAAGGAAGATTCAACACCTTCCGCTATGCATCATACGCTTAGAAACGAAGGCCTACACAAAACAGAGGAGAGAGAAGAGGGAACCGAAAAAAAAAAGGTCCTCCGATTAGCAAGTGCACGCATAAAAACATCATACTACCCATGCGGCCGATCCCCCGTGCATTTCGTCAATTCCGAACATGGACTCTCCAGGGGGAAGAGAGACAAGACATCCCGCTGACTGATTCTACTGCAATAGCTCATGGGAGGCCATTTTACCTCAGCCTTGCCTCCAGTATATAGCTAACCAACACCTACACATGGCCAGACAAAGGGAACCTGCGGCGAAAGACTGCAAAGTATGCAAACAACATGGCAAAGCACAACTTGGCCATTCCTCACCTCACCACCACACTACATCTTACGGGACCTGGTAACCATTACCCTTGGAAACGATCGTGACTGCGCTCGCTTGTCAGATGAAGGGGGCAACAGTAGAACAGCCCACCACACTAGACAGAACGAAGCACTAAGGAAAAACGCCAGCGAACACAGAAGAGAGACGAGCGATCACGGACGTCATGAAGGCAACAACCCTCACGCTCGTACCGGCTGCTGCCATCGCTGCCCTTTCCCGGCGGCGCAGCCAGCGCACAATACAACCGTCGGAGCACATCGTCAAGCAAACCGAAAGTAAGGCCGAGCCGAGTGTCCCTTCCAAGAGGTTCTTCGGTAGAAACCTGTCAGGAGGATCTCTCTGACCTCCAAGCAGCCAGAAGAGATCTTTCAAGGGACCCCTTTTGGATCACTTTAATGAAAACCTGGACCCCGTACCTGATAAGGTAGTCCCTGAGCGATGGGAAGAATTATGTCAACAACCATTATTTAACAACAAGCGCGTTTTCCTTAAAATTGAGTTTTTTTTTTTTCTATTTTGCACTTTGTACACGAGTGACCTGAAGAGGTTGTTTGTCCTGTCTGGTAAGAGCCATTTTTAAGGATGAGTGATCATCAATGAGACTACCCTCATCACTAAATATGGCCCTTATCGGACAGGCCAAATAACCTCTTCAGGTCGCTCATGTCTGAATTGCTAAACGAAAAAAAGAAACTCAACTTTAAGGAAAACATGATTCAAGTTCATTCAACACATTTATCAAAGACTCTCAAGGTTGTACTCCTCATCGCATCGAATCGCCATGGAAAGGGTGAATTAAGAAAGAAATTATACACATCAGAGATATATGTAGTAGTGAGAATAGGGATTGGATTGATCCTTCGACCCTATAGGAGCGTCTGCGGTACTGTCATCATCAGAAGGAAGCAGCGAAACAAATATTGACATAATCCCTTTGGAATGGGTCGGAATTCTTTGGAAAGGGCCTAAACTCTTCTCCAATGATTGGGTGACCATTATGGCACAACCGGGGATAGTGGGGAATATAATTGAGGCCTTCAACGAAAGGGACATCCTCTTGTCTATTCTTGATCTGGAAGCAGATGGATTCCTCAAGCCTAGGTCACAAGAGTAAACTAGGTGGTTCAAGGTGGACCAACTATTTCGGATCAGGGTTCAAAAATTAAAGATAAATGGTTAGCCTTTAAACTAGACACACCCATTTTTCACTTACCTTTTAACCTAGAAAACTGGACCTGGTCTAATGCAGATGGAAGGGGGCGCTCCTACTCTACGTCGATTCACACACTATCAGTTAAATCTACCTACAGGATGCTTCGTCCTAAGGTGAACATAAAGGACTGAATAGAAGTCCGATGGATGAAACATTTAAATGTAAACAAAGAAGAGTTGCAATCTATTAAGTGGTTTCGCTACATTAAATCTCGACCAGCTAAAGTAGCATCTTTGGAGTGACGAATTGCCCACCGTTGCCTCCCCACAATGGCTACAGGTTGGGTTTTCCCCATGGAATCTAATTTGTCCTGAATCAACTCGAAATTCCGTTCAATTAGGTAGAATCTCTTTTGATTTGATTTGATTTGATTTGATTTGATTTCATTTCATTTCATCTAAATTGCATGGGATTTGGTTTGATTTGATTGGATCTGATTGAATCGATTTCGCTCGGAGATGATGATCTAACTTGTTGTGTTTGGGGACGGTTCGCAAAGATTTGGGCTGAGAGACTTCTCAGTGCGGTCGTTTTTCCTACTCGATGATGGGTTGGAAGTTCCGCCACCTGGCAGGGGGGGGGGAAGTCTCGTTTCTAGCAGGCAGAGCTGACAACCTTGTAGGGAACTTGCTCCGGTGTCCACATGCAACCCTTGCGACTTGGAGGAGACTGCATAAGGCTGACACTGACTTCCTGCCGGACATTCTAGAGAGGGTGCAACATGCGGTGGAGGAGAATCCCTGCAATGACGATGATGCCCCTACAGTGGAGGATATTGTAGGCGGAGGAGGGGGAGGAGGCCCCGTCGGTGGGGAGGGTGAGGAGGTGGCTAGTGGGCATCCTCTCGGTGGAGGACATGTGGAGACGAGCATCGTGAGGTATGCGAAGAGCCCATGGCAGAAGGATATTGATGACTCTTGCTGTGAGTTCTTCGTGGAGAACGTCATCCCATTCAAAGTCGCCAAAAGCAGGAGCTTCAAAAAGTTCACTTTGGCGTGTTATGGGCCACAGCCATCGGCGAGCCACCCTCTTGTGTCCATCGGGTACAACCCGCTCAGATGCTGACTCCTCAATCGGTTGCGCGAGAGGTTGGAGGATGAGGAGCGCGTGGTCCGGGATGACTGGGAAGTGACAGGATGTACATTCATAACCGATGGCACCACAAACATATGTGGGCGATCACTTATGAACTACATCCTCGTAGGCCGGTCAAAGGCAATTTTCATTAAGTGCGAGGATGTGAGCGAGGGGGACAAGGACAAGGCCGATGTCGTTGCTGGTTGGAAGAGGTTCTTCAGGGAGTTAGGGGTGGAGAAGATCATTGCGATCTGCACAGACTCCTTTGCAGGGAATACAAGTGCTGCGAGGATGTTGAGGGAGGATCTTGAGTTCGAGAAGATCTATTGGATCCCTTGCACGACTCACTACATGGACCTGCTTATGCACGACATTTCCAAGCAACAATAGGCGACTGACATTATCAAGAAGGCAAACAGGGTGGTGAACTTCTTCTGACTTCATAGGTGGCCATGATCCCAATTGAGAATGCAGCTCCTGCAGTCCCTGGAGTTGAAATGCACCTGCCTACTTTGCCCTGCGTAGACATGGTTTGGGACCCACTACGGGATGTTTCAGCGGCTCAAGGTCTGCGCGAAGGTCATCACGCGTATCGTGAACGGACTCGCCTGGGAGAACATGGTGTGGCGAGGGGATGTCAGGGAGAAGGTCTTCTTCGTGGAAGAGACTGTTCTTGACAAGGCCTTTTGGGATGATGTCAAGAAGTTGGCCACCCTGATGAAGGGCCCTTACAATGTTCTGCGAGAGGTGGACAAGGATGTCCACTGCCTGTCGCACATCTACGACATGGCCTGTCAGTTGCCGGTCTTCGTTCATGCAGCCCTCGTCACTGACGAGGAGCGAGATGAGATCTTGACGGCGATGGCGAATAGGACTGACATGCTGCTCAGCCCCATTCATGGTGTGGCCCGGTTGCTAGATCCTGTCTTGAGGGACATCGCTGTTTTCAGCAATGTGGCGCTGATGACGCAGTTCAGGAGTGTTGTGGATCGACTGATCGGGAAGAGAGGGAGCAAGAGGTTCAGTGACTACATGGAGCATTTGTACGACTTCCAGTTCAGAACAGGGTATTTGGCTTGTGTAAGTGTGATGATGTGATCTTGTGTGTACATGCTTTAGCTACACGGGGTCTAGCAGCAGCTGCAACAGCGGTTGCAGCAGTTGCTGAACACCGTGCAGCCAAGGCATATGTCGTGGCAGTACTAGCAGGCAATGCATACGCAGCACTATCGGCAGCAAGTAACAGCCAAGGCACGTGCAGCAGCTGCTGGGCCCTGTTTAAACGCATCACATGCCTTCGCTGCACGGGGCCCAGCAGTTGATGCACGTGCCTTGGCTGTTATCTGTTGCCGTCAGTGCTGCGTATGCATTGCTTGCTACTACAACTGCGAGTCTGCGACACATGCCTTGGCTGCACGGGGTTCAGCAACTACATATGCAGCAGATAGCAGCCAAGGCATGTGCCGCATATGCAGCTGATAGGTTTCATCGATACTCGCTCCAGCTGCTGGGCACCGTGCAACCAAGGCATGCGATGTGTTGCACGTGGCCAAACAGCTGCTGACGGACCCCATGCAGTGAAGGGATGTATGTATGTGTGTGTGTGTGTGTGTGTGTGTGTGTGTGTGTGTGTGCCTGTGTGTCTCTGCTGAACTCTGTGTGTGTGTGTGTGTGTGTGTGTGTGTGTGCCTGTGTGTCTCTGCTGAACCCCGACTGTATGCACAGGATGCATTTGACTGATGGATAAGGACTCGTCACATCGCCCAGACCCAGAGTCGACGATACCTCTGAGAAACGGCGTGTGTGTTGTGTGTTGTGTGTGTGTGTGTGTGTGTGTTTGTGTGTGTGTGTGTATGAGTGTGTGTGTGTGTGTGTGTGTGTATACCTTTGCCAGTGTGTGTATGTGTGCCCCTGCAGGGGGTGCAGCAGCAGCAGCGATATAGGTTGCATCGGCTGCTGCACCCCCTACAGCTACTACAGCTCCTTGGTAGAGTGCTGTTTTTTTTTTTTTTTTTCCCTTGCAGGCTGCCAGTCTTTTTTTTTGGTCATACCGGCCAAAGTTGGCAATGGCAACAGTCACGACTGCTGCAAGTGCTCTGCCTGGGCTGGGGTTCGGGT